TATATATATATATATATGTGTATGAGTGTGCGGGGGTGTGTGTGCGTGTGTGTGAATGTGTGTGTATGAGTGTTTGAATGTGTGTGTGTATGTGTGTGAAAGAATTTGTCTGTGTGTATGTGTTAGTGTGTGTGAATGTGTGTGCGTGTAAATGTGTGTGTGTGTGAATGTCGTAATAACTTCGTATCGCATACATTATACGAAGTTATACGACACACATTTACACACACACACATTTACATACACGCACACACTTTCACACACATTCACATACACACACACACTTTCACACACATTCACACACACGCACACACACGCACACACACACATACACATTCACACACACACATTCACGCACTCACACATTTACACACACACACACATTCACGAATGCACGCACACATACACACACTCACACACACATATACAAACTCACACAAACACACACACACACACATACTCACACACACACACACATTGTATAACTTCGTATAATGTATGCTATACGAAGTTATTACGTTCACACACACACATTCACGCACTCACACATTTACACACACACACACACAGACGCACATACACACACACATACCCACACACATACACACACACGCACACACACGCACACACACACATACACATTCACACACACACAGACATTCACACACACAAACACACACTCACACACACATTCAAACACTCACACATTCACACACACACAGACATTCACACACACACACACCCACACACTCACACACACACATCCACACACACACAAACACACATTCACACACACGCACATTCACACACATACACACATCCACACACACATTCACACACTCACACACACATATTCACACAGACACACACATTCACACACATACACCCATTCACACACACATACATTCACACACACACACACCCACACACACTCACGCACACTTACACACTCACACAAAGTCACACACACACACACATTGTATAACTTCGTATAATGTATGCTATACGAAGTTATTACGCACCCACATTCACACACACACACACATTCACACACACACACACACATTCACACACACATTCACACACACACACACACACACACACACACACATTCACACACACACACTCACACACACATGTATTCACACACTCTCTCTCTCTCCCTCTCTCCTCCTCTCCCTCTCTCCCTCTCTCCCTCTCTCTCTCTCTCCTCCCTCTCTCTCCTCTCTCTCTCTCTCCCCTTCTCTCCCTCTCTCTCCCTCTCTCCCTCTCTCCCTCTCCCTCTCTCCCTTTCTCCCTCTCTCCCTCTCTCTCTCTCTCTCTCTCTCTCTCCCTCTCTCTCTCTCTCTTCTTCTCCTCTCTCTTCCTCCTCTCTCCCTCCCCCCTCTCCCTCTCCCTCTCTCCTCCTCTCTCTCTCTCTCTCTCCTCCTCTCTCTCCCCTCTCTCTCTCTCTCTCTCTCTCTCTCTCCCTCTCTCTCCCCCTCTCTCTCCCTCTCTCTCTCTTCTCTCTCTCTCTCTCTCTCTTCTCTCTTCTCTCTCTTCTCTTCTCTCTCTCTCTCTCTCTCTCTCTCTCTCTTCCTCTCTCTCCTCTCTCTCTCTCTCTCTCTCTCTCTCTCTCTCTCCTCTCCCTCGCCCTCTCTCCCCTCTCTCCTCTCCCCCTCTCTCTCTCTCTCTCTCTCTCTCTCTCTCTCTCTTCTCTCTTCTCTCTCTCTCTCTCTCCTCTCTCTCTCTCTCTCTCTCTCTCTCTCTCTCTCTTCTCTCTCTCTCTCTCTCTCTTCACTCTCACTCTCACTCTCACTCTCACTCTCTCCCACTCCTTTTTCTTTCTTTCTATTTCTTTTCATTTCTTTTGGTATGACTATAAAGTTTCCTTAGTGTTCATTGAAAAGTTACATAATTGTATTATTTATGAGTTCATGATGCTTTGCGGATGAAGCATATCCCCCTAGCAACTGAGGTCTGGTTTGCTGTAATGAAGATAATGATGTCAAGCAGAAGGGGAGGATAGGAGGGTAACGGAGACAGACATCAGTGAGAATAAGAGTAAACAAATAACCAATTTTTGAAGGTTGTCTGATTTTTAAAAGGAGAATATTGGTAATTGGAAATAGATGACTTAAGAGATACATACTAAATGTTGCATTATCTTGTTGTTGTTGTTGAATGGCTCCTCATTCTTTTAGGCATGAAAAAGGAATCTATGCCATCAGCATCTCATATGGATTTATTGGATAGCAAGAAAACACTGCCATTTAGCTTTGGGCAGGTGTTGACTTGTGATCCCAATTTAACTCGAGAGCTTGCTGCGGCTCTCCAGGAACACTTTCCTACTTTAAACTCGGAATTTGAGAAAGGTGTGTTTGCAGCTAATTTCTTACATTTTCCTAGTTTAAAATACTTGTTCATATGGCTTTTCATCATCATGAAATATCATGAATTGTAATTAAACAGTTTACTATAGAAACGTTTATATAAGAAAATTTCCTATATCAAGTGTCTGTTTGAGACTCAGGCTAAAATTAATGGCATCTTAAAAAGTACCTGAATATTTATTAGTTGGTGCTTTTGTTAACAGAAGAATTGCATTTGATGTGAAAAAGTAGATATGATATTATCTAGCATTGATAATATATATAAAAAATCCTGTTTTTGATGATGCAAGACCAAACCATGTATAGCTTCTACACAAAGTGCCTGCACTATGATTTGCACGCTTTCAACTGCTCATGTGTAACTATAAATTGACATTTCTTGCATTCAGTATGTGAGTTGCATGCAAAATAGGAATGATAATTTCATGTGCAAATGGATTTTTGCAATATGTGCAAATAGTTCTTGATTATTTATGAATATGTAGCAGTAAAAAGTTACAACTATGGAAAGAGTATATATTAAGTAACTGCATGATGTACGGCAATCAAGGGGGTGCAAGATATATTAAGGTATTATTTTACTATTTTCATCTATATGCAATCTTTTATTGTATTTAATTCTATTCTTACTGATATCCTTTCCATTATTTTTACAGAATGATGGCTGGAAGAAAAGTAGAAGTTTAAAGGACAAGAAGGGCATATGCATACAATCTGCTGATTTGCTTCAACAAAAAGAATCATATCATAAAAAGACAACTTTGAAAAAGTTTTGAAATTTTGATATACAATATTTCCAGAGACACTCCGTGATTAAAGGAAAATATTTGTTTTATTTTTTACAGCTGTGATGGATATGTGATCTTAACTTTGTGAAGTGTGATGGTTTATTTTAGCAGCCTCGCTTAAGTAAGGCAATCCTTCCATTCAATAAGAGAGGAGAAAATGTAATTCCTTATAGTTTATAGAGAAATGGGAGAGGAAATGCAATGGTTACCATGTATATTGAATATGGAGAAATAGGAGATTTTAAGCTTGTAACTTAAGTTTTAAACTTTTGCCTGGCCATGATTGCTATAAGTATCCAGTATATTTTGTATGCTTCAGTAGGTTAAGCTATATAGTTTTCTTATCCTTGTGTTTTACTGTCTTACGTTGGTACAAATGTCACATAACCAGTGGCTTTGAGCTCGGGTAATATATTTTACTGGGCTCATCCCAAACTTGCCTTACATCCTGAAAGTTTGTATTTCCATTGAGCTATTTCCTGTTGCTCATAGTTGCTTGTTATGCTACAAAAATAATCTGTATTCATAAAGAGATTAGTCCCACCACGACATTTATTTTTGGTTCCATAAAAGTTTTAGATGATCAACATTTATCCTTATTTTGAAACCCTTCACCTGCAGTAGCGGTTTTCTTCAGTTGAAGTGTGAAATTGGTAATGAAAAAATATGAGTACATAAGGTTAATATACGAGATTTGAAAATTCGTCTACACTGCCTAAACTCAAGGAATTGTGTATGAAACTGACAGCGTGTTAACAGAAGGGTTATCAAACAAAGGGCAGTAAATATACATAACATCAGTGCAAAGATCTGAAAAGACTACCAGGTTCTTTGCCCCTTGCATACACCAGTGCCTTAAAAGCTGTAAATATCTGCTTTTAGAAAAGATATCTATATGTATTATACTTGAATTGGAAGAAACTAAACCCTGAAATAAGGACAAATAAGATACTTATATTTCCAAGTCACTAAGGACTGATTGAATAGGTAACTGCAAATAATTAGTCATCAATGAATATGGAGATGAGGTAATTTAAAGACTCGCAATCAACATTTGGACTTGATCACAGATCATGAGGTACTTTTGAAAAAATGTTGATACCAGTATAAGACAAATGTAAACATGGAATCAATATCAAGTTAATGATGAACATTAAAATAATCAAGTTTCCAATAACAAAGTTTTTCATAAAGGATAGTAAGATTCTGCAGTCATTTTTTAAGAAAAACTTAATTCTATAATTATGGAATATATACTTTACAAGAAATCTACAGGCAGTAAAAGTTCACATGTTCTCACAACAACTATAAACATACAATCAATTAT